ACCTGGCAGACAGGGGGATCCCCACAACGAGGTGGGGAGCCCCCCAACCAGCCGGGTCGAAGGGACCCGCAGACAGAACCCCCAGCAGCAGACCGGACCCAAAACTTTAAGAATAAAAGTCCTGATGTAAGATAAAATAAAAGTTAAAACAGTAAAATACATAAAGATAAATATAAATAAATGATCAGAATGTAAAAAGAATTAAAGTTCAATTAAAAGCCTGATTAAAAAGGTGCGTCTTTAACCTTCTTTTAAAAGTATCGACGGTCTCTGCGGTCCTGAGGCTCTCCGGCAGGCTGGTCCACAGGTGGGGCCGTAGTGGCTAAATACTGCCTCACCGTGGGTTCTGGTTCTGGCTCCTGGTCTGCATAAAAGGCTGCTGCCGGAGGACCTCAGGATCCACGAGGGTCGATACGGTAAAAGCAGGTCAGATAAATAGCTGGGTGCAAGGCCTTTAAGACACTTATAAACCAATAAAAGAACCTTAAAATGGATCCTGAAGCGGACGGGGAGCCAATGTAGCGACCTTAAAACAGGTGTAATGTGGACCCGCCCTCTGGTCCTCGTCAGCACGCGAGCGGCTGAGGTTTGTAGTAATTGGAGATTTAAATCCTGCTCTTAAAGTTAAGGGTAATTTCTTCATAAAACCAGCACAAATCACTAATTACTTTATTGATTATGTTAATGATAAGGTAAATAATTTGAGGAGAAATATGCAGCAAATAGATCATTTCACCTCCACAACACTGATTAGTGATTTAATGATGAAGGATTAGACGTGTGAATTTAAATCTGAAAAGTTACAGATGTTGAGTGTTTGCAAAACATGTCCAAAATGACTTCAAATTTGTCAAAAACACCCTAAAATGTGGCTAAAATGATCAAAATGGGCCAAAACTTACACAGAACGAGTCCAAAATGACCTAAAGTCTGTTTAAACAGGTGAAAATGTGGCTAAAATCCCACAAAACTTGTCCAAAATGACTTCAAATTTATTGAACACACCTTAAGATGTGACTAAAATGACACAAACTGAAGCCAGAATGACACAAAATGGATCCCAATTGACCTCAAATCTGTTTAAAACAGCTAAACAGGTGGCTAAAATGGCACAAAACTTGTCCAAAATGACTCCAAATGTATCTAAAACACTGTAAACTGTGGCCACAAGGACTCAAAACCACCTAAAATGGGTCAAAAATGATAGAAAATGAGTCCAAAAAGTCCTCAAATCTGTATGAAACACCTAAAACTTAACNGCAGAAACCAGTTGTGTTAGTTGTCGTATATCGACCACCCGCTCCTTACTCTGAGTTTCTAACTGAATTCTGTTGGCTTTATTTATTTCTGTCCTCGCCGATCCGGTTGCTTCCACTGGATCTGTTTGCTGCATTAAGTTTGACTAAATCAAGAGCACGTCTGAAACGATAACCTCCTGACCTCCAACACCCTCCAGCAGCTTTAAAAAGCCTCCGACTTTATTTCTTTTAAATCATCAGATTTACTCCATTTATCTAAAAACTGTAATTAAAATAAAAACCTGCTGAATTTTATCGAACAAGTCATAAAATGTAATCGTGTCAAAACTTCCTGCTCATGTCCTGGTTCTCAGGTGGAGCTTCTGTTTTAACCAGCAGATTGAATAAAAAGGCCACAGTGAAACCGTTTATCATCCACAATCAGTAAAAACAGAATAAATGTTGAGTTTTTAGCATTCTGACTCAAAACTGTCCAACATGATGGAAAGTTGTTGGTAAGAAATCGTCCACATGAACAGAAACTTGAAAAGAACGACTTAAAGTTCTCCAAATGATGGACGAAAGGACTCCAAAGGTGATAGAAGTGACTTCAGATTTGTCCACAACCACAGAAGTTCTGTCCCGAGTGAAGTGCTTGAAAAACAAATCATGTGAAATGAGTCAGAAACGAGTGAAACCTCAAAACGTGTCTGAAGAAGTCCCAGGATGAGCCCATAATGACTCCCAGTTAGAGATCAGAGGACAGAACATGGGACAGTGAGACGGACAACAACAGAAGTGACACAAGCTGCTGAAGATGCATCCATGGTGGTGAAACATCTCTGGTGCCTTCATATGACAGGAAGGAAGAACGATGACTCAGGTGGGCGTCCAGAGGTTGATGAATGTCCTCATGAGTCCCAGAATGAACACTTCGTCTATCAGCAGAGCTTCCTGAGAGGCTGTTTGTCCCCATGGCGGCTCTCCATCCTCTCAGATATCTGATGTATCGACCAGCCCTCTGAAGGAAGCGCCTCTGAAGCCGTCAGCGATTGGCCGGATTAGCGGTCAGCGGCGCAGCCCGAAGCTGTCCTCATCCCGTCAGCGTTCGTCTGATCTCCGCTCGTATCATGTGAAGAACTCCGCGGCGCCGCTCGCTAGTTCTTTAATTGGCTTTTGGATTCTGACTAATTAGGCTAATTGTCTTCTTCTGATCCTGTTCGGCTCGGCGACCGTCCAATCAGAGGAGGGACAAGTCCGTTGTCTTCCTTCATCCTTTATCGTCTCTCTCTTCTGTTCGGTCAAGTTTCTGGTTCTCTTCCTGGTTCTCTCCAAACTTCTCGTTGAAGTCATCAGAGTGACTGTTCTGGAGATGTTTGCTGCAGAAGAAGCTGTAGCGTTTCTGGCATCCAGCCGTGTGACTCTGACCTTGCCGAGGTGGCCTGACGACGCCGGTGCGTCTCGCCTCCACGTCTGGCCGTCTGCCGGCTCTGAGGATGACAGTTTGGTTATAATTGCTGCTAAACGCTCGACAGCGCCGCCTGCCTGCCTGTACCGGTTGGACTGACAGCTCCTGCTGTTGGATCCCAGCAGACAAACGGGCCTCATCTGTCCCACAGCAGCAGGTCTACACTCAGCCACCCAGCACTCATCAGGATCACACGTGGAGGCCGGAGCCAGCGCCACCTATCGGTGACGCCGCGCTGCACAGTGGAGATCAGTTATCATTTTCCTCATTGGGTTTGGCCAGAGTTTTGGAGGCCAGTTCTGGCCGCTGAACTCCATTGGTCGGCGCTGGAAGGTTGGACTGGTGGCCCAGCTGGGCTTCCTTTTTAATTGTCTGCCAGCCAGTTGCTGTGATTGATCAGAAACGTAGCTTGTGAGGGAGAAACGAGCAGCGAGCGCCCAGAGGTTTTCCTGCAGTCGATGAAACGTGTATAGCTGTTGTCTGGGACCGTTTGCTCATCGTTCTGGTGGTTCTGCTCAGCTCCTCCAACACAAATACTGATGTCTGCGTCATCCAGGTGGCTTTAGTCCACGGAGCTGCATTCAAAACAACTTTTCTGGTTTGTTTCTGCTTCTTGAACATGTTCCACCTTCGTCCAGGACGCTGAGCTGGAGTATGAAGATGAAACGTTCTTCCTTCTCTCAGTGGTTTTGTTTTTCTTCATCGACTCCTCCAGCCTCTTCCTGCCCATTTAGTTCCTCTCTTTATTTCTGTTTGCTCTTCTTGTGTCTTTAATTTCTTCACATCGATCTTTTTCTTCATCTTCACAGTCTTTGATCACTTCATGTGTTCCTCCGTTTGTCCCTGAAGCTATTTCTCCATCCAGGTTGGTTTGTTCTTCCACCTCGTTATCAGTTTCATCTGCATCAGCATGACTCCACTGTCTGGCTGTTCCATTACTGTTTTATCCCTTTGCACCCGTTTTTCAAAGCAACAGCTTGATCCAGATACAAAACTTTTCCAGATCACCAAGTTGGTCGGCAGGCATGATAATAACAGTTTACAACAAGATGATGTGTTCTCAGTCTGGTCTGATCATTTAAAGACCCTAAACCAACACAAGAACACCAAAATCACCACAAAAATCTCCAACAAAAGATGCAAACTCAGCAGCTGATTCAGTTTTGTGGATATAGATATTAGCTCAACCCAGAAAACGGCCAAATCTCCACAAAAACACAACAAAAAAGACCAAAAGCAGCACAAACTTACTTGTATGTTGTTTTTACTTGTATGTTGTTTTAAATGTGTTTGTTTTTATGCCTGTCAAAGAAGAATTTCTGTCACTTGTGACAGACAATAAAGTTTATCTTTATCTTTATCTTTATCAAACACACACAGAAATCCCCTGTAACAGATGCTGAATGACCAGAGGCCTCATGCACAGAGGGTGCGTACGCACTTTTCCTCGCTCACGTTCAGATGTATCAAGAGTGAAATGACCGTGGAAATGTGCGGTCCTCCATGTCAACTCCTTGACTGGTGTACGCACGTCTCTACTGCTTTGAGCCGTTAGTGACACCTAGAGGTGATGCTGGGAAACTGTTAATCCTGTCAAAAAAGGTAATTCCTCAAAGTGATGTGCACATCAGAGACACTGAGATGAACAATGATAAAGATAAAGATAACTCTACTGATCCCACAGTGGGGAACGTTCACTGTTACAACAGCTCCAAAAAAGTGTTCAGTCAATGCAAGAATAACTGTGAACCCCCAGCGCAAAGAGTAGGAAGAAACAGAAACAGAAAACACACGGTGCAAAAATTGCAAGAGAAAAAACATTATATACAGAAGATGTTTTTTTTTGTTTTTTTTTTAAAGACTATCTACACAAGGATGAGGTAGTCATGGTTACTGCACATAGTGGAATGTGTTTGTTGGTGGAAAAAAAGACAAAGTGCAGCAGCAGTACCAGAGGTACCAGAGGTACCAGAGGTACCAGAGGAGTCCATAGTGCAGCGTTACAAAGTCTGACTGTTGTTGGGATGAAGGACCTGCGGAAACGTTCCTTCTTACACTTTGGGTGTAACAGTGTGTCGCTGAACGCACTGCTAAGGAGTTCACAGTCTGATGCAGAGGCTGGGAGGTGTTTCTATGATAGCAGACAGTCTGGCCAGTGCCCTCCTCTCTCCTACCACCTCCATGGAGTCCAGGGGCAGCCACAGACTGAGCTGGCTCTTCTGATCAGTCTGCTCTAACCCGCTCAGAGCACCCCCTCCCAGCACACCACTGATGCCACCACAGTCTCAGAACGTCCTCAGCAGTGGCCTGCACACACTTTGGCCTCCCTCACAAATCACTCCATAAACTTCAACTGGTCCAGAACTCAGCTGCCCGCATCATCACAAGAACTGCCTCCATCCACCACATCACGCCCGTCCTCCAATGGCTCCACTTGCTCCCGGTTCAGTTCCACATTCAGTACAAAATCCTCCTGTTAACCTTCAAGGCAATTCACAACCTCGCCCCCCCACATCTGTCTAACCTCCTCCATGTTCCCGCTCCCTCAGATCCTCTTCCTCCTACACCTGTCTGTCGCCTCCGCCCGTCTCACCACCATGGGGAGCAGAGCTCTGGAACTCACTACCGCCCTCTCTCAGAAACATCGACTCACTCCCTCATTTCAAATCCCAACTCAAAACACACCTGTTCAAAACTGCTTATTCCCTGCTGTGCCTGATGAATTTTATTGTTGTTTCTTTTATCTTTTGTAAGGTGTCCTTGAGTGACCAGAAAGTCGCCTTTTAAATAAAATTTATTATTATTATTATTATTATCTTTGAGCGCCTCAGTGGCCTCATCAGACCACTGCTTCACACACTTTTTGGTCGGAGGTTCCTTCTTCATCACAGGTGTGTCAGCAGGCAGCAGATGGACCAGGTTGTGGTCTGAGCGGCCGGGGGTGGGACGGGGGAGGAACTGTAGGCATCTGCTGTGTTTGCATACAGCAGGTCCAGAGCTTTGTTGTTCCTGGTGGGGCAGTTCACAACCTGATGGAAGTTGGGGAGAGTGGCAGACAGGGAAGCACGGTTAAAATCCCCGGTGATGAGGAAGAAGACTTGGGTAGCTGTGAAAGCACACCGTGGAGGAGCTCGCAGGCCGAAGGAGGGACGTACACCGTCAGTGTGTGCAAGTCCCTCGGCAGGTAGTACGGCCGATGCTAACCGCTAGCATCTCAATGTCCCAGGTACACCGTTGCTCCTTGATGCAGGTGTGCCCGGGGTTACACCACTTGTTCACAAACATCGCTACTGCCCCGCCCTTCTTCTTACCCCTCCTCTCCCTCGTGTCTCTGTCCGCTCTCCGTCCAGTTGCACCAGTGAGTCCGGGGTAACGTCGGTCAGCCAGGCTGCACGCCCGGTGTTCCCGCTGTAGCCGCGTTAGCGTTAACCCTAACCCTCATCCATCTTGTTCAGGAGAGACCTCACATTTCCCGTAATGACAGATGCTTTGTACCGTCGTCTCCTTTCTCGGCGTTTAACTCCGGCTCTGCATCCCCTCCTTCTCCTCCGTAGTTCGGTGGGGATCTCCGGTCGTACGTCGGGATGTAGCCTAACGTGGCTAAGTGCTAACAGCTGTTGCCGGATGTAAACAACAGCTGGGCTGCGGTGGAGCGTGTCCGCCGATGCGGCGTTTAAATGAACACACCCAAGTGTTTGCAATCAGATGAGTGGATATCAAAGTGTGCAGAAGATCCCGTTAACAACAACGGCAGCTTTGGACCTGCTGGAGGATGTTACCAATGGAGCAGTGCCAAGAGACTCAGGACCACGACTGGATCATCAGCCGCTTTAGGTTCCTGAGGGCAATTCGCTTAGAACTGTGCACAGAACCATTATTAGAGCCCAACACGTCCAGGAGCCATGTCCTACCTGTGCCCATACAGGTGCTGACCACACTGGGCTTCCTGGCCACAGGGTCATTTCAGAGGGAGCTGGACGACCGACCGGGACTGTGCCAGTCCACACTGAGCCCAGCTGTGAAATGACACAAAAACTTGTTCAAA